AGCCAGGGACGATGGGAAATAAAAGCCGATGACACCAAGGTTGCGCGGTTCTACGGACTAACAAAGGTACACAGAAAAAATCTATTTCAACTAATTGTTTCAGCTTCTGGAACTCCAATTTTTACGAATTAGCTAATGACATATGGAGAAGATTGGGACACTCGATTTCTGGATCCGAACAGACGATCAAAAATACTGGCCAATTTATAATCAAACTACGGGACGCTAAATTAGGTGACAAAACCATACTTCTTTGATACCACATCATAGTCACTTCGACCGCAATCTCGCCAGGGTAACAATGACGGAATTGCTTTGCTACAATCCATCACTCACCAACCTGAAGCAATGCGTCCACTGCGTGGACGGCATATAACGAGATTCAGTACACAATGTCCATGAAGTGTTTAACACTACATTTGGAGAAATTGAATATACAACCGGACTGGGATGGAACTAACTACCATTACTGAATGTTTTAGCGGACAGCAACCTGCGTATGCCAGAAAGAGTCACGTACGGAGCGAATTTTGAACTACAACAGCAACCAGCTGCATTGCAGCAACCTTGGAGCCAAGGAAGAAGGGAAAACCCATCTATTCAGAATATTCGAGAACGATGGATATCCAAGGAATTTTCTCAAGAGATGCTTAAAAGCAACAGTTCGACAGCAAGAACAAGCTACCAGACGGATCGTTTTACCCTGCACGTAGAATATATTTCAACTCAGCCAGATTATTTGGTCAAAAAGGGGTTCTCGTAGCCCAATTTAGCGAAACTTATCTAAAAACCGAAGGACAACGCTGATAAAACCAAGGGTGATATACCAGATCAACTATTACAAATTCTTCATTCAACAAACTGGAGGAGAACTATGTACACGAATGCAAGAACACAACCCACCCATCAAAATACATTACCCTCTGTGGTCCCCACACATTAACAGCAAGGTCACGTTCAATCTTGAAAACGCAAGAATCTCGGTATGCGGCAAAACGACGCACGGAAGGGGATTTCTGGAGTCGTGGTACTCCACGACACATCCAGTCAACCGACGTGTTGAACTGTGAATCGAACTGTGAACCCACTTGGCATGTCTAGAAAGCTCGCATGAAGCTTCCCTGTGCTACACAGTTGTGCCCGTTCGCGGTTATCCAAGCGGGAATGTATGAAGTCTTGGGTGACGCCTACAAGCTTTGAAACCCAGTGTTTGGTATCACCATTCACAGTGTAGTTTACGGGCTGTTTCGATAATAAAACGTATTTTAATGCATATGTACTTCTGTTTTGGGTTGTTCGGGTATTATGTGTCGTCTAATGCAACTGTATGGGCATCATGGACCCTAGTCGTAGTGAATGATACAGCCTTCAATTCTTTGCTTAGTAATTTTCTCACAACCACAACAGAGTGAATCGTAAACAGTTGCGCAACTGACTTGACTACGCCTTTCTTGAACCCACTGTAAACCGTACAGATTGACCCAATTAGTTTTTTTGAGTGAAATCGGCAGTTGCCACACTTGTCCGATACACGGATCTATCTGTAGGCTGCACGTACGTGTTCGGAAGTCCTGACCAACAGCTTTTTCAATCTGCTTGCAGCGGGGTGCTCTTTAGCTTTCCCTGTTTGCTTATGAGATAAATGGAGGTTAGTTCATCTTCTGTCGAAGCATCCTCCTCGATAAAGCTGCCACACATGTTCCACTGTGGTTGTATTTCCTTCCTACCGCTACGGAGAAAAGCACAAGTTGCCAAGAGCATGCAGTTGTCTAGCAACTGACCTTAGGAATTGTCTCAGCGTCTAATCTTTCCCGTGTAGCTTAAAGCAACCGAATCCTGCAAACTATGCTATTCTTAGCGAAATACACTCATATGCACTCATATGTTAACCTGAACAATAGTGGTTGTCGGAATTATACGAATTCTGTCTGAGGTTGCACAAATGAGTGAAAATCAGTTTTCCCTTTGTCTGTAGTCTCTTTTCCACAAGACATCCTTGCAGTCTGCAAGTAGTTGCGATGAGTGATTTTGACGAGTCTGCAAGAATTTCGAAACCATGCTTAACAACCCTAAAAATTCTGGTTTGGGAGTTTGAGAAACGTAATGCACATCCGGTGCTGGGAATAATAGCTTTTTACCGTTCCGTTCAGTGGAACAGGCTCTAATTGTATACTGGGTTGTTCGGATTCGCTTTTTGAACCAGGTACATAACTTAAAAAGCATCAACCTTTTGAGTTGACCCATTGTTTTGATCATACCAGGCGCAATTCATCCTGTTTCTTGACATTGATTTATTTGCTGGAACACACTCTGGGCATTTGATTCGTTATCAGGCACTCAATGAACCAGCCTAGTCCACATTGTGAATTTCATTCTACCACGCAGTCGGCTGTACGGCTGTGTGTCTTTCCAATCCTGAGGGATATGCCGACGGGCAATCTTCTGCAAGGTATATTTCTTAAGTTTTCAGGCTTTAGTGGCTCCTGTATTGACACAGCATTTGATGACGCGACAAGTCGGACAAACTAAAATTCACATCGCACTTTCGATCGCACAGTCATTAAGGAGCACGTGATAACGGCCAATCAGCTTCCGTCGTTTTACCGCGGATCCAATATACAGGCACCGTTGAAACTCTACTAGCCTGACCATTCACTGTGGGTAGTTGGGTATGACCGCACAAAGGTTGTCTTCCATGTATCAGGGTCAGAACATGCTGAGGTAATCAAAGACCCAGAAAATGAGGCTTGGGCGATCGAAGTTTGGCTTACATCGGGTCAACCCATCAGCAGTTCGAGAGGTTTTTTAATGAACTCATAGCAAGAATGTATTGGAAATTACGGAGACGAGAGGATGCTCTGTCTTACCAAATAAATTTGCTCCAACCGTATAACTCTTTGATATTTGGATTACTCGGACCGCACGTCCATCCGTGTCAGCGATTCGGGTCTGAATATACTCTGGGACAGAGTGTTATTGGGAACGCGATCACTACAGATCAACCGTTTGTAATGCATCAGTATACACGCACACGGAGGTTTGCATCTTTTTGTCACTCTTTGATAGAAAGGCACACAAATTCTCACCGTCTAGCTTCACTATCTACATTGCTTTTATGTCATTTGATTGAAGGCTGTAGGTTAAAAATAAGGGACTGTGAAGACGTTGAAGACTGACGGTGTCGGGTTCATGAATTCTCGCCTTATAATGCAGGAGAAGGATTGCAGTTGATCAATACTACCAGCGGTTGTAACTCAGAGTGCACGTGAACTCACACTATCACAGCATTCCCAAGATTGATAACAGCTTCACCATATAAGTTGACATAAGCCGTCTCCCGGGTAAAAATGTTTGTATAACCCGTTCACGAATGTTGAACCATATCAAATTGATATTGAATAGGAACGACAAGATCTCTGGGGGGAAGATTTGCACTACACTGTCACTCTGGCTTTATATGGAATGGATCCTTAACTTTTGCCTTTTCGGTCGAGTAACCCTTTTCCAGTGTTCAGACCTATGGTTATGTGGTGATACCTACTCATGAAAAAGCGCAATATGCCACTCGACGATGGTGTGCACATGTAGGGTGATAACCTGTTCTTGTGATTAATTGAAACAGTACGCGGCCAATGCTTTACTGAACCTCCCCAATAAACTGCTGCTGCCATTTTGTGAAGTCTGGTAACGTATAATTTTGAATTAGGGCCATCACGCGCACCAGTGCATCCCCTTAATGTGTTCGACCATTCACTCCAGCCCAGGTGGCTATGCATAGAATCAAAGTAATCCCAATTAAAGGGCTATACTCTTTTGGGAGGAGTTTATTGGGAGGTCTACTGTACGTACATATTTAATTTATTACTGTCGACCAGTTTTTCATAATCGTTGTCACCGATGGCTAAAGCACTTGTTAATTAATCAGCACAGATAGACAGAACTTACCTCCACCCTCAATTCCCGATAGCTTTTGATTATCGAGTCGATAGAAGGCGTTTTTGTGGATTATTTGTCCCATCGGGCATGAGAAAAAATTTCGGTCTGTGTAAGACGGTATTCATAGTAGCAGGAAAGACAGCGACCGACATATTGTGATCAAATCGTTCAGCTATAACACCCTACCTGCCATGCCACCCGAAGGAAGCTTGAGGGCTGAGATACTGTCAGGTTGCCCAAGTCTAGACATCAGGCTAGATTCTGGTGTTGGATTTGAACCGTGGGCCTTCCGATCGGTAGGTTCGCGCCTTAGACTTACCTCGAACCCATATTGTAATCAGACTGTACTTATACACAAACTCGATTTGACTCATGGTGGAGCTTGGAGTGTTTCGCGCATTCGCTGCTTGTTAGCTGATGTTTTTGTTCGATATCTTCAAATTCGAGTACCGTTCTCTTGAAACTAAGGAATGCGTAGTGTGGTAGTTGATGCCATTTTTTTTCGTTACTGCCTGCATATTGTTCCCATTCGTTTTCAAGCGTTGCGGAAAACCCTCGTGAATCTTTGCTGCACATTTTCTTTGGGTTCCGCAAGCATGCAACCTGCTTACTGCACAGCCGTGAAGTGATAGGGTTGCGTCCCCGGTGCGACTGACTACCCAAACACTTGTATAAAAACTGCTCACTGAACACTGCTGCAAAAATATGGGACAGGATTGGCTGATCATCATCAGTGTTCAACGCCGGTGTTTCGCTGCCGTACAACCATATTTCATTTGAGCCTTGTGAACGAATGAATGAAGTTTGAGGAAGTGGCTTAATTTCCGGGGGTTGCTTTACCTCCAGGCGCTCATCCATGCAATCTGAATAGAAACCGACAACAAAAACGCTGTTGAATTAGCCAGCATCACTAGTAATAGTGAAGATTCCATCTGTCTTTGGGGCTGTTTCCTTTGCGCTGCATATTCTGGGTTCATTTTTCTTGTATATGGTCTCGTTGCAGTAAACCTATCTTCTGGGCTACATTAATTCGACCGTAACTGCGCCCATTGTTCATATCCCTAATGTGCACATGTATAAACTCATATACTCGGTTTATCTCTCATTCCAGACACGTATTTCACAAAAAATGCGTTGACCCGTGGTTACTGGAACACCGAAGTTGTCCTCTCTGCAAACTAGACATTCTCAAGTCTTGTGGCATCTTGTTGGATTCCTTCTTTCCACTAACCTTGGATGAGTTAGGGTCAAACCATTTAAGCAGTGATTTTAGCTCTTCCAGTTCATCGTCGCTGTCGGAACCGTATAGAAGGTCGACTGTCGGCAACTGGCTCTCCGGACGTATCTTTTCCCTGATCTTCGGAGGTCTCTACAGACCTTCAGCTACCTGTACCCATCGGTATCATTATGCGATGACCCGACAACATGCTTCGGCACATGAGTGTGTCGCCCCACCTCCATCCATCTACTCCTGTCCTACACAATACTTTGGTCATTACCATTTACCACATGTGCACCGTTCACGCAAGGAATTTGGGGACATACCAGACCCGACATCCGAGAGGTCCACTCCTATTCTGTCTGCTTGTCCTCTGCTGTGGCTCTGTTGTTGCTGTTGCTACTTCTTCTGGTCGGATACTCGTAATACTACTACGACCTCTCTGCAAACCTGCTCTTGTTTACATTGCATCCAGCCCCAACCCTGCCCCACTGATGACGCAATCCCCATGTCCGTGTTGTCGGACCGATTGTGTGACTACCATGCTTCATTCCTTGGCGTTTCCTGTATGCCCGTCATGCTTCAGTTACTTCACTGGCGATGTTACGAATCTCATCGCCGAGAATTACAACATCATCTTGTTGAAACACGTGACTTCATTAACTCTGCACAAAATCGCGCCAGTAGCAAACGATTACGATTTGATCCGTCGTTCTATCTCACTCGAGCGAAACTACATATGGGAACCATTTTTCAAAAAAGTCGACGCCAATCCGCAGATCCTCCTTTTACCTTCCGGTCAAAAGCTGATGGAAGTCTCTCTCCAGCTATATCAAATCCATGGGAACGCCACCGGGAATGGTACTGTCCCGTAGTTTCTTTTGCGGAGACAACCTACTCTAGTCAGTGTGAACAGAAAGCTGATGTTCACTATTCGAAAGACGGATCCGTTTCATCGGTGAGTCTCCACTTTTCTCGTACTTTTTGCTGTTGGTGAGATTCCTTTTCCCCCAAAAGAAGTACTGACGAAACTGAACAGACGAGTTTGACTGGAAAGCAGAATATACATTTGCTTCGTGGAAGGTTATCTGTAGATCGGACGTGGTAGCTTGTTTGGACGGTGCGTGCGTGATCTTCAGGTCTGACCTCCTACTCATGTTATTAACCATAATGAATGATAGGAGTTTCGTGTGACTGGGTCTGTGTTGAGTGGCAGCCTATTGACCGCTACATCCCACCACTCGTTTTAGTGAATGTTACAGAGTTGAACCGATTCGTTTACCCTCATTCGTTTCGTTTCCATTCCAACGCTTGTAATAGTTTTTCTGCCGACCGATGTAAAGTTGGCTTCTGTAGGTACACTCTCTTGTCTACCTAGGTCACCTTCGACGGCTCCTTACCTGTAGTACGTTTGGAAATAGCGTGATGACTCTAACGTTGTCGTCCAATGTCATGCTGATCCAATCTGAATACCAAACGGTGGTATTCACTTGGGGGGGGGGTGTGAAAATGGATAACAGTTTTTGGTTCATACTAGTGCCCGGGTTTTTTCAACGTCACTCACTGACGGGCTCGAGGTGGTTCATGTGGAGAGAGGAGTGCGTTAGGAAACTTATTAGTTCGTATCGACAAATGTAGCCAAATTTTCGTCTGAGGTCTCCCCTTACAGTTGGTGCATTTGTCGGTCAAGATGCTTTAGCTGTTTATGATATAACTGGATAGGACAACCAACAGCTCCCTTGAACCATTTTGCGGGCTCTCATAGGAAGGTAGCGCATCCAACTCATCATTTTTTATTTTCTCATGACGCTTGACGAGTCAAAGTCTCACTAAGACTGGAGATAATTCATTATGCACTCTGGGATTCACTGACAATTCCCCATTCAGCACTCCTACGTTTCTTCTGTTTGTCGATGTAGAAACAGAGAGGAATTTTCACCGTTGTGTTAATTGAGTAAGTGGAAAATGCTTGGCTATCGCAATCGAATACTTTGTGCCAGAACGTCATATCTTGTGCTTTATGAGAAAATTTCCCGGTGTTGCATATCACGTGACCAAGTATTTTGGTGGTATATAATCCAAGCGATCCATGCGCCCCAGCATTTCTCGATACCCTTTGCTTAGGCCGCAAATCACCTTTCCCCATTCTTGAAGTCAAATCGAACCATGAATGCATCATAAATCTTTTCGGTGGGTCTACTACTGTGTAGTGCTTCGCTTTTGACAAGAAAGCTTCGTCAGGGCATGTGATTGGGTTGCAAGGTTGTCTGAGCTTTAGGGCAGAAGGAGAACCACTGAGCATGTTGAGTTGTTGAGCATGTTGAATCAGCAGTAGTCGGTAAATGTTTTATGGTATGGGTTAGCAGATGTTAAGACCGATGATCTAAGGAAAGGCTTATGTGAATTTGGGCTGGGTCTAGAGTCTTGTTCTTCCGCCTCACTTCACTTGAGTATTCCTCCCAGCTTACGATTCCTGTTGGCCTATGTGGGTTAGCTAATGTTGCAACAATTGGATAAGGGCGGTGAATACGTAAATTTGGATCGGGTTGGACGTTTTACCGTCCATCTCGGTTTATTTAAAACTTCCATTGACAACCTCGCCAGTTCTAGGCCGTCTATTCTGTTCACAGTGAAATGCTTAAGTATTTTTGGGCCTTCAGCTACTGTGGTGTGAATCTTAGTGCGCATCTTAAAAACTCCGCATTTTGCGGATAGGTTGTATGTCCTGAGTCTAGCACATGCCTCACCATCGTCAAAACTGGCCACCGGATGCTATTCGTCCGGTGGTCTGGTTGTTCTTTTCCTGTCCTCGCCATTTCTGATTTACAGTTCCTTGAGCGCATATTTTACCCAAACCTTGGTTCAATCGTATTAAATTTAGCATACGCAGTCCCTAGTCCTTCCAACCGGACACTGCCCTTCAACTGCACCAGCAAGGAGCGCAACGTTTTCCCTTTCTAGAACTCTACTCTAATGTTAGCTGTGTTTAACACTCTTCCATTAACCTCCGATCTTTCCGTTTTATAAAAGAATCACTGCTGTAGGTATCTTTTCATTATTGTATCAAGGTTCAGGAGCTATTGCGCTTAATTAGCGCCTAATCAAACTCACCAGGTATCCACTTACTAGGTCTTCTTTTGGCCTCATCTTTGACTTCCTTTCGGTCAACTTCTGACTCGACAAAACACCAATTCGATAGTGCTAATATTCTCCGCCTTCGAAACAGCTGGCGAGTGATTTAGAACAGCATTTCATCAAATCCACTTACAGGTCTTCTTTTGGCCTCATCTTTGACTTCCTTTCGGTCAACTTCTGACTCGACAAAACACCAATTCGATAGTGCTAATAATCTCCGCCTTCGAAACAGCTGGCGAGTGATTTAGAACAGCATTTCATCAATGATCATCATCAATGACAGCAACATCAGTGTTGGCACTGATGCTTCACTGCCGTACAACCATAAAGTTCGTTTTTATATATATATATATATATATATATAAAAACGAACTTTATGGTTGTACGGCAGTGAAGCATCAGTGCCAACACTGATGTTGCTGTCATTGATGATGATCATTGATGAAATGCTGTTCTAAATCACTCGCCAGCTGTTTCGAAGGCGGAGAATATTAGCACTATCGAATTGGTGTTTTGTCGAGTCAGAAGTTGACCGAAAGGAAGTCAAAGATGAGGCCAAAAGAAGACCTAGTAAGTGGATACCTGGTGAGTTTGATTAGGCGCTAATTAAGCGCAATAGCTCCTGAACCTTGATACAATAATGAAAAGATACCTACAGCAGTGATTCTTTTATAAAACGGAAAGATCGGAGGTTAATGGAAGAGTGTTAAACACAGCTAACATTAGAGTAGAGTTCTAGAAAGGGAAAACGTTGCGCTCCTTGCTGGTGCAGTTGAAGGGCAGTGTCCGGTTGGAAGGACTAGGGACTGCGTATGCTAAATTTAATACGATTGAACCAAGGTTTGGGTAAAATATGCGCTCAAGGAACTGTAAATCAGAAATGGCGAGGACAGGAAAAGAACAACCAGACCACCGGACGAATAGCATCCGGTGGCCAGTTTTGACGATGGTGAGGCATGTGCTAGACTCAGGACATACAACCTATCCGCAAAATGCGGAGTTTTTAAGATGCGCACTAAGATTCACACCACAGTAGCTGAAGGCCCAAAAATACTTAAGCATTTCACTGTGAACAGAATAGACGGCCTAGAACTGGCGAGGTTGTCAATGGAAGTTTTAAATAAACCGAGATGGACGGTAAAACGTCCAACCCGATCCAAATTTACGTATTCACCGCCCTTATCCAATTGTTGCAACATTAGCTAACCCACATAGGCCAACAGGAATCGTAAGCTGGGAGGAATACTCAAGTGAAGTGAGGCGGAAGAACAAGACTCTAGACCCAGCCCAAATTCACATAAGCCTTTCCTTAGATCATCGGTCTTAACATCTGCTAACCCATACCATAAAACATTTACCGACTACTGCTGATTCAACATGCTCAACAACTCAACATGCTCAGTGGTTCTCCTTCTGCCCTAAAGCTCAGACAACCTTGCAACCCAATCACATGCCCTGACGAAGCTTTCTTGTCAAAAGCGAAGCACTACACAGTAGTAGACCCACCGAAAAGATTTATGATGCATTCATGGTTCGATTTGACTTCAAGAATGGGGAAAGGTGATTTGCGGCCTAAGCAAAGGGTATCGAGAAATGCTGGGGCGCATGGATCGCTTGGATTATATACCACCAAAATACTTGGTCACGTGATATGCAACACCGGGAAATTTTCTCATAAAGCACAAGATATGACGTTCTGGCACAAAGTATTCGATTGCGATAGCCAAGCATTTTCCACTTACTCAATTAACACAACGGTGAAAATTCCTCTCTGTTTCTACATCGACAAACAGAAGAAACGTAGGAGTGCTGAATGGGGAATTGTCAGTGAATCCCAGAGTGCATAATGAATTATCTCCAGTCTTAGTGAGACTTTGACTCGTCAAGCGTCATGAGAAAATAAAAAATGATGAGTTGGATGCGCTACCTTCCTATGAGAGCCCGCAAAATGGTTCAAGGGAGCTGTTGGTTGTCCTATCCAGTTATATCATAAACAGCTAAAGCATCTTGACCGACAAATGCACCAACTGTAAGGGGAGACCTCAGACGAAAATTTGGCTACATTTGTCGATACGAACTAATAAGTTTCCTAACGCACTCCTCTCTCCACATGAACCACCTCGAGCCCGTCAGTGAGTGACGTTGAAAAAACCCGGGCACTAGTATGAACCAAAAACTGTTATCCATTTTCACACCCCCCCCCAAGTGAATACCACCGTTTGGTATTCAGATTGGATCAGCATGACATTGGACGACAACGTTAGAGTCATCACGCTATTTCCAAACGTACTACAGGTAAGGAGCCGTCGAAGGTGACCTAGGTAGACAAGAGAGTGTACCTACAGAAGCCAACTTTACATCGGTCGGCAGAAAAACTATTACAAGCGTTGGAATGGAAACGAAACGAATGAGGGTAAACGAATCGGTTCAACTCTGTAACATTCACTAAAACGAGTGGTGGGATGTAGCGGTCAATAGGCTGCCACTCAACACAGACCCAGTCACACGAAACTCCTATCATTCATTATGGTTAATAACATGAGTAGGAGGTCAGACCTGAAGATCACGCACGCACCGTCCAAACAAGCTACCACGTCCGATCTACAGATAACCTTCCACGAAGCAAATGTATATTCTGCTTTCCAGTCAAACTCGTCTGTTCAGTTTCGTCAGTACTTCTTTTGGGGGAAAAGGAATCTCACCAACAGCAAAAAGTACGAGAAAAGTGGAGACTCACCGATGAAACGGATCCGTCTTTCGAATAGTGAACATCAGCTTTCTGTTCACACTGACTAGAGTAGGTTGTCTCCGCAAAAGAAACTACGGGACAGTACCATTCCCGGTGGCGTTCCCATGGATTTGATATAGCTGGAGAGAGACTTCCATCAGCTTTTGACCGGAAGGTAAAAGGAGGATCTGCGGATTGGCGTCGACTTTTTTGAAAAATGGTTCCCATATGTAGTTTCGCTCGAGTGAGATAGAACGACGGATCAAATCGTAATCGTTTGCTACTGGCGCGATTTTGTGCAGAGTTAATGAAGTCACGTGTTTCAACAAGATGATGTTGTAATTCTCGGCGATGAGATTCGTAACATCGCCAGTGAAGTAACTGAAGCATGACGGGCATACAGGAAACGCCAAGGAATGAAGCATGGTAGTCACACAATCGGTCCGACAACACGGACATGGGGATTGCGTCATCAGTGGGGCAGGGTTGGGGCTGGATGCAATGTAAACAAGAGCAGGTTTGCAGAGAGGTCGTAGTAGTATTACGAGTATCCGACCAGAAGAAGTAGCAACAGCAACAACAGAGCCACAGCAGAGGACAAGCAGACAGAATAGGAGTGGACCTCTCGGATGTCGGGTCTGGTATGTCCCCAAATTCCTTGCGTGAACGGTGCACATGTGGTAAATGGTAATGACCAAAGTATTGTGTAGGACAGGAGTAGATGGATGGAGGTGGGGCGACACACTCATGTGCCGAAGCATGTTGTCGGGTCATCGCATAATGATACCGATGGGTACAGGTAGCTGAAGGTCTGTAGAGACCTCCGAAGATCAGGGAAAAGATACGTCCGGAGAGCCAGTTGCCGACAGTCGACCTTCTATACGGTTCCGACAGCGACGATGAACTGGAAGAGCTAAAATCACTGCTTAAATGGTTTGACCCTAACTCATCCAAGGTTAGTGGAAAGAAGGAATCCAACAAGATGCCACAAGACTTGAGAATGTCTAGTTTGCAGAGAGGACAACTTCGGTGTTCCAGTAACCACGGGTCAACGCATTTTTTGTGAAATACGTGTCTGGAATGAGAGATAAACCGAGTATATGAGTTTATACATGTGCACATTAGGGATATGAACAATGGGCGCAGTTACGGTCGAATTAATGTAGCCCAGAAGATAGGTTTACTGCAACGAGACCATATACAAGAAAAATGAACCCAGAATATGCAGCGCAAAGGAAACAGCCCCAAAGACAGATGGAATCTTCACTATTACTAGTGATGCTGGCTAATTCAACAGCGTTTTTGTTGTCGGTTTCTATTCAGATTGCATGGATGAGCGCCTGGAGGTAAAGCAACCCCCGGAAATTAAGCCACTTCCTCAAACTTCATTCATTCGTTCACAAGGCTCAAATGAAATATGGTTGTACGGCAGCGAAACACCGGCGTTGAACACTGATGATGATCAGCCAATCCTGTCCCATATTTTTGCAGCAGTGTTCAGTGAGCAGTTTTTATACAAGTGTTTGGGTAGTCAGTCGCACCGGGGACGCAACCCTATCACTTCACGGCTGTGCAGTAAGCAGGTTGCATGCTTGCGGAACCCAAAGAAAATGTGCAGCAAAGATTCACGAGGGTTTTCCGCAACGCTTGAAAACGAATGGGAACAATATGCAGGCAGTAACGAAAAAAAATGGCATCAACTACCACACTACGCATTCCTTAGTTTCAAGAGAACGGTACTCGAATTTGAAGATATCGAACAAAAACATCAGCTAACAAGCAGCGAATGCGCGAAACACTCCAAGCTCCACCATGAGTCAAATCGAGTTTGTGTATAAGTACAGTCTGATTACAATATGGGTTCGAGGTAAGTCTAAGGCGCGAACCTACCGATCGGAAGGCCCACGGTTCAAATCCAACACCAGAATCTAGCCTGATGTCTAGACTTGGGCAACCTGACAGTATCTCAGCCCTCAAGCTTCCTTCGGGTGGCATGGCAGGTAGGGTGTTATAGCTGAACGATTTGATCACAATATGTCGGTCGCTGTCTTTCCTGCTACTATGAATACCGTCTTACACAGACCGAAATTTTTTCTCATGCCCGATGGGACAAATAATCCACAAAAACGCCTTCTATCGACTCGATAATCAAAAGCTATCGGGAATTGAGGGTGGAGGTAAGTTCTGTCTATCTGTGCTGATTAATTTAAGGTCCAGTCTCTTCGTGACGGTCTTCTAGTCCCTAGTGGGTGATAGTTTCTAACTTCCCGCCGCTCATAAGTGTAGTGTGTCCAAATTAGACTCCATATTAGACTTTATGTGAGCACTCAAGCTATTGAGAAAGTCGTTCCATTGCTGGACCCTGCTCTTGCGTATCAGTAACTGAGTCAATGACAAAGTGATAGGGATTCATGCACACCTTTATGCCCTTAACTATTTCACCCACTGTCTTTTGGTAACAGCCACCTGGTTACATCGCGTCTGTTTCAAAGTTCATGCGCTCTTTATCTTCAAAGAGAACTACTTGACTTAGCAAAGCCATACGAATTCCCAACATAGATGGTTGATTTCCTTGTGAGTATTGGATAACCTGCCCTGTTGATCTTACCGTAGCCCACGGAGTTATGATTGTGATGCTTTTGGCTACAATCCACACCGTTTTCCATATTGATAATAAGAATATAATAATTGTTCAACCGTAGCACCGAGGGTTAGCTGCCATGCTTCCCGAAGGAAGCACGAGGACTTCGATGCCATGTTGCCCAAGCCTAGACAGAAGTAGTCGAGATGTCGAGGTTGGTTGCGAACCGTGGACCCTTTGATCAGTAAGCTCACGTGTAAACCACCTGGAACTCTGGTCTTAGATACCCACTGACTTCAACACTCCTCCTATCCATTATTGCCGTAACCGTACCACTGCTAGTTTGCCTTTAGTCCACCGAACTTTTGTGTATTGTCGGTCTTACAGTTACAGTGGCCGTACTCATATCCACCTTCGTAATGACCATAAGTCCAACCTGTTTCAGTGCATTTATTGCTCTCCTCTCTGATGGTGCGATTTTAAGAGTTCCTGGTTATCTGGACTGTAGTATCTTATCCCGTACTCGTAGCTTCTCGGCTTCCTTTGAAGGAAGGTTTTGAAACTAATTCCCTACTGATTGCTTCTTACACTCACTACTGTTTTTTCTCATTGCGAAATTTAGTCCCTTTTCTAACACAGCTTCTTCACTGAGTGACCGGGTTGACAAATGAACTTCACTGGTAGATAGTTTCTTTTCCTCTATAACCTTACTGGCACATGGAGCCATAGAAGACAACTGTTCGGAAGTAGATAAATGTGTATCCTCGCATTGTCAGGCCTCGTTAAGTTTCAGTTCTGGGGAAGTCGGCGGATGAGATTGCAGTCTGAAGATTGTGGCTGGGTCGACATACGGGATGGTGGATATCGTTTCAGCACTGTGCGATCAGTCTGATACTTGTTTCTATCATGTGCATTTTTTCGTCCTATGGGTAGGCCTTGGAACTTGGAAATGACTTATCACTGGGACGCTAGATCGAATGGCACTCGATCGAGGTGTCGTGTGGCTTGATTTAAGGTGATTCGTGAATGATAGGTTGTCCATTATCAGTAGGCAAAACTACTATTCACAGCTTCTTAAGTACTTCAAGCACTGATAAGTTTCGCGTTCACATCAATGTCCTGTAAAGCGTCGTCCCCCTGTCCTGGTACAATTATTCTAGTGATTCAACATTTTAAGGAGGGAGGCTCTGAACTCTGGTTTCGTTCTTGTTAGAGTTCATCGGTAGAACATATCCTTGGGCGTGCCGTGGTTTGAACTCCGGACATATGACTTGCGAGGCGAGCATGTTACTACTATCATTCATTTTCGAAGAGCATGGTCACAACCATAAAAAATGAATGCAGGCGATGAATGCGAAAGAATAACAGGAGAATATGGGAGAAAAGAGAGAAACGTCTCATTCGAAATCATGCCAAAGACAGTGCCAGTCTGATGAGGTGAATCCCAAAGTATGTAAAGATTTTGGTATGGGAACACGCGTCTAAAGACCAACAACCAAAGAAAGGACAAACAATGGTGAATGCTCTTCAAGGCGCAGTGTGCGCTAGCACAGTCAAGAGTCGCACATCAGGCACACAGTGACCGTCATAGTGGGTCTGGTGTGAGATTAAGTGGCAAAAATGTACCTTCAACGCCATGTGCCACGCATAAAAGTGTCATAAGTACGCAGGGAGCCCAAAATGGCAAGCAAACACAAGTCACTGACTGCGACCTTAGGAAGTCCCTATCCAATAACAGCCTTAGCGGATTGAGGAAAGCAGATCCCTCGATAAGAGATGATCATCGGTTGGTGAACCAAAAAGTCGATATCACAACCGATGGCATGTGGGGCTGAGATTATAGCGAGGGAATGTTCATCAGCACCATACTTCTGCTTCTCC